GGATCCATGCTGTTCGCTTGCAGACCCTATAACAAATAGAGAAACTGATAGCGAACAGCATGGACCCTGATCAGACTGCGCGGATGCGCAGGCTGGTCTGGATCCATGCTGGTCGCAAACCCATTATGTTGGTTTTGTCGTGACGCGGTTCATATATATATTTCAATATCTGGAAAAAAGTGATCCCGAACAAGAATCAAAATTATCAAAATTACATTAAAATTGCACTCTCGGTTTGATTGAGTCAGTACATCAGGGATAATGAAATAGTGCAACATCTCTCGTTCCCCCTAGCACCGGCTTGAGCTCAATTTTAATTCATAGCACTTAAAAGTGCTGGAATCAATGATCCCAAGGGACCAGAAAAATATAACAACACTGAAGTGAAGTACGGGTCAACTCTCATATAAGCAGCATAGGGGAAAAGACGCTTAGCTGATTTATAGAAAATTAAAAACAAAACAAAACAAAACAAAAAACCCTCGATGGGCGAGTCATATTTACAATATTTACCTAGGGTCATTGCTCGGTGTATGTTTTCTTTTACCCTTCTCCAATCATCAATGCAATTGTTATATAGTTCTACTTTGTCTACTTATTAACCACAAATTAATATACATGTAATTTCTTTTAAAACATTTCACCTAAGACTAGTGTGATAACGAATAAAAACGGAAATATTTTATTTAGGCAGCCATACACACAGTGATCTCAAAGTTTGGAAAATAGATTGCCTTGTCAACAACGCTGGATGGCGTAAGTTTTCATATAAAGTAATCCGGGTTTCTTTTGGCAGTATTTTTTGTTGTTTTTTTTGTCAGTAATGTAATGCAAAATAGATTATGAAACCTACACTGCATTCGTCCGACGATTTTGCAAGTTCGTATTTTCTAGATAAGAAGCGAAAGGACGTCAAAATGAAGCAGATTACGACACATTGAATATGTCGTGATTCCGCAACTTAGCATCATCACATTTTCGCATTTTTGGTTTGTGTCTTTGTTTTTATTACTTTGCTTTATTGCATTTTTGAGCTTTAACCTTTTGACCTTTCGCATCTTAAGGTTCAAGTAAAGTATGTACAGATTTATTACACACAATGCCATTAACATTTTATTCACAAATATAAGGAAATATAATTTCTAAGCTCTAGACTGTGTCATTAATGTACGTATGCACTTATACAAGCGAAACGTGATAATGCGACAATGCAACAATGTGGAAAAGCAAAAATGCAACAATGCTTAATAACCGATACAGTTTGTTCGTATTTACAAAGACACGATGCATTTTATGTGTCGATTGTGATTCCTCCTTTGTCGTATAACATCAAAAATGCAAAAACACGAAAACAGGAAAAAATTTGATTTTGTCGTCGCTCTGATTTTGTGGCAAAAAACAACAACATCGTAAAAACTGGAATAAAACACATACAAACACACACAAAAAACCCTGCTTAACGGTTTATTTATAGAAACTATACAATGTTTATAAAGATCATATAAGATGTATATCTGTTTTTTTTTAAATAAAAGAGGTCTTTTTGTAGATCCTCCAGCAAGCAGCATCGATGGTTTTTCTGCTGAGGATTTTCGTCAGTTGTTGGATTTGAATCTCGTTGCTTATTTTCTAACTAGTAAGGTAACTAGTGAATCACTGGTGATATTTTCATTATAAAAGAACATGATTTATTTCTTAATTCTGTGACATGAAAAAATAATTAAAATGCTGTAAAGCAGACTGACAACTTAAATTAATAGATACCCGCTATCTTAGATTAGAACTTATGATATATATACCCAAGTTCAATTGCTCTTGCCAGGCACATAGTTCTGCAATTGCTGATGTTATATGTATGATACGCATTTGTCCTCCAATGCTGTTTCAAAATAACTTATATAGAGGAATTTACAAACACGACAAGAAGTTCTTGTAGATAATCCGGAACACTAAATAGATTAATGTCATCTCGGATGTGACTAAAAATAATTAAAAGATGCGCTAGATAAAACTAGCAATCATTCCTATTAGAGCGTCCACACCAAGTGATTAAGGTCGTTGACTTCAAACCACTTGCCCCTTACCATTGTGAGTTAGAATCCTGACCGGGACATTTGGTTCTTTCATGTAAGGAAGCCATCGAACTAGCTTACGTCGATGGTTCTACACAGGTGCCCTTTCATGCCTGAAATAATTTTCGGAAGCGCACCGGAAGCTTCCTCCACCAGTAAAACTGGAAAATCACCATATGGGCAATACTGCGCGTTGGTGCAAGGTAAAAGCCGACCAAAAAGCAATCATTTTACGGTCATGTTTAACACAATTAAACCCCATGATACGTTGTATATGTGAGAGATGCGTCTGATATAATAACTTCTTGTTCCATCTTTTTGAACAGTATCTTTATTCAGTATTAGAAGGAACTATTTCAGCGCTATCAATTGTTATATACAAAATGGGAAATAACGTTAATTCAATCTTTATAACGAATAACGTAGTGACATTATATTTAATGCTATGATATTTTCTTAAGGGTGATTTCTTTTCTTAAGTGAATGTATTATGTCAAGCGTTTTAGATGTAAGACTTTGTTTCAGTACGTGTTACCGTATCTAAGACAGTCCTCTGGAAGCATTGTGAATATATCAAGTGCCGTTGCTATCTGTGGTCAAGCTGATGCCGTGACATATACAACAACTAAAGTAAGTAAGAAATCAGTTACTCAGGACCGAGAATAACTTTAGTATAAAACCGACGAATATAAACTATATACTAATATTTTCAAAATGGCGAAAAATGTTGAAAAAAAAACAACACTTTTTAAATTGTGTACTGGTTAATATGTAATGCATTTTAGAAGTAAAATGTTTTGATAAAGGCCCTTGTGGCTATCGACCTTTCAGTAATTAGACAGAGCACCCTGATATTGTTTTTACTTAAGACATATTTTACCCGTGAATCAGTCAAAAAGCACGAGGATATGTTAAGGGAAGCAAAATATTTAAAATAAGTTTTATTTCATATAATTTTTTAAGTAGTTAAAGGAACATGTGGACGCCAAAGATTTCGATTAAAGGTTAACTTTCCAGCTGAACTTGTGAGGCAAGACATAAAATGTCCATTTATTTAATTATGGCATGAGCGGGCAACTGTTTTATGAGCTACCTTGATAGCTCCCTCAAAGACATTAACGAGAGCCACTACCATAGCAAATGTTAGTCAAATGTCTATTAAATTAACTTTACAGGGAGGAATAATAGCTATGACTAAAGCGTTGGCAATTGACGAGGCAAAACATGGCGTCCGGGTTAACGCGTATGTTTTATTTACATGAATTTGTAAAAATAAGACGAATAGATACATCTTTTTATATTCTCTATGCACGATATATAAAAAATAAAGTTTAAAATATTGATAAAAGAGTTTTTTTTATGACTGGATCTAATACATTTGTACTGTACATTTGTATTCAGTTTACATATAAACGAAATCATTTTCAACCATTGAAGCTGTTTTTGTAACGAAACCATAATCTTTATTTGTTTTTCAAGTTTTAAAATTTTATTTTGTAAAATATTTCGCATTTAAGTGACGTGAAACACTTGTGTGCACGTATTATTTACTCAAATCTCGTTCATGAATTTCATAAACATGTGCCTTTTTTCTGTAGAATTTCTCCGGGTACGACTTGGACGCCACTTCTTAAAAAGTTAATGCAACCTATTGACAAGGAGGCTGAAGTAGCCAGATACAAAGGTCAAAGTGTAGGTGTTGATGCTATATTTAAAACGTGATAAAATATCACAATGACTTATCGGGACTTGTAAACATATTTGAGCCGCGCCACGACAAAACCAACATAATGGGTTTGCGACCAGCATGGATCCAGACCAGCCTGTGCATCCGCGAAGTCTGATCAGGATCCATGCTGTTCGCTATCAGTTTCTTTACTTGTTATAGGGTTTGTAAGCGAACATCATGGATCCTGATCAGACTGCGCGAATGCGCAGGCTGGTCTGGATCCATGCTGGTCGCAAACCTATTATGTTGGTTTTGTTATGGCGCGACTCATTAATAATTTGTCTTTTTTGTTTACACCGTTAATTGTAAATGTGCCTAATTCTTTTTTACCTGTCTCAGATAATGAATCGAACAATTGTCACGTACTTATCATATTTCACAAATGTATAAGAAATGTGTAAGACATGACTAGACTGGAGCATAAAGTTCGTTTTCAATCAAATTATTTGTATTTGGTTGAGCAAATTTTATAGCAGGCTTTTAATTGTGATATAACTTAAGTATCAATGATGATCTTAACTTCCATCACCTGGTCAGTTTACAATTACCTGCCTACAGTATTTTGATTTTGGGACCGCCTCCGTGGTTGAGGGGTTAGAGTCGATGACTTCTAATCCAGTTACCTCTCTGGCGTGGGTTTAGCGCGGAGGAAGATAGTCTAGTACTGGTGTAACTCTCCAGGAACGATGTTTAGGAAACTACCCGCCTATATGGCAGAAATACTGTTGGGAAAAGGCGTAAACTGAAAGAAACAAACAAACAAACAAACAAACAAACAAAAAACTTTGATTTTGATTTAATAATATTGTTTTTAGCCGATATTGATACTATTATTTCAATAATTTTTAACAAAAACTTTTCTTTTTTATCGTTATAGTTACTACGGCGCCTAGTGGATGCCCGTGAAATTGGCAAGGCGTATTTATTTCTGGCTACCGATGCAACATACACTACAAGCGAGAATTTAAATATTGTTCTGGAGGTATGGAGGTCGGGTTTGGACAGAAATACTGACGCTTTCTAAACTAATTGTCTTCCATGACATGATGGCATGTATCATAATAAATAATCTTCCTCAGGAGCGATGTACACGCCATGTTCAGGGTTATATCAATGGAAAATAAACAAGATATATGCATGTAATGAAAATATGTCATTTAATAAAAGTGATAATTCAGAATTTCAAAATAAAAAAAAAACAATGTTATATACGATAAAGACATTAACATAGTCAAATTATTTGATACGTTTTATCTTGATTTTCCAAAGAAAACATTACCACATGTCTGAAATCTTAACAAGTGTTAGATTTTTTTGTCTTTATAAATTGTTTTAATTCATGTGACATTCAATTTTTATATCCATATCCGTGACATGTTTTGCAAACTTCGTAATAACCTATCAAACCCGTTCCCGAGCAGACCTCGCACTTTGGATGGTTTTCAGCAAGTTTAAATATCGCACCGACACCTTGAGATATGCCGACACTGCCAATCGCTCCTCCAACAGCTGCTCCGATAGGACCACCCACCACGAATCCAATAAGAGCTCCTGAATAGCCTCCCCACATCCCAGTTGCTGCTTTAGCCATTGCGACACCATCACCTTTGAAGGCGTAATAAGGAGCAATGAAATGTCCAAGAACAACGCCAGCAACACCTGGCATAGGTCCATTAGCAATAGCCTCGGCTAATTTACTAATAACAAAACCAGCGCCTCCTTTAGCCGCTTCCACTGCAACTGTTTCCAATAAAGATTTATCTAGAACAAATGTCCTGGCATATGTTAAAGCCTTTGCGAGAAAAATAGGTTCACCAAGAATGGCGACTCTCTCTACTTCTCCAGACAGAGTATTGAGAAGGACGACGCTTCTGGTCTGGTTTGCAGTTTTCACTTTCTCAAATTTTTCTAAAGCACTGTCTAAACTAACGGATTCAAAGGCAATGTTTGGTTTTTCGGATTTACCACCGTCATAATCTACTACGATGTACTGTTTCGTCATTTCAATATGTCTTCGCTGGTTTTCTTAGTCGGCGAATAGAAAATACTTTATCTGAAACGAATATACTTTAGATAAGTACTGTAAACGAGATAATTATACATGTAGTAGTCATTATGTTTTAGTAAAGCTAGGTTAAATGTAAAGAAGAGTTAAATTAATTAAAAGCATTTTTCCGCATATGTCAATTAAACATTAAATTTGATGTTATATAATCCGGCATCCGGTAAGGTTTACATTCTCCGATTGTCCAACGTGTAAGGATAAAATAATGAAGGCTTGTTCAGCCTAAGATCATGATTCTTCACTAACCGGATGAAAAAATAAATCCGTGAATATGCCAGGAAAATCTTTTTTCACGTGGGCTTATCTCACACCCCACGTGCCATACTTTTACACACACGCGATATTCACTCCTCAGTTAACATCAATGAAACCTTATTAAGATCATATGTGTTCAGACCCGGTGCCAATGATGACTTACTGGTGACTACAGGTAGGCTATAATGTTCCTTTGTATCTTTATATAACTGTACATTATCTGGAGATTCGATAGGTAGTTTTGGACAGGTTTTTATCTATTATTATTTTCTCTAAGACATATCTTGCTATTTAAAAGATATATAAACACAAAAAATCAACTTCAGAAAAAGTATCTTATTTTATCATTTTATCGGGCCAGCGGCCTGATGTAAAAAACAATCAAAGCAGCCTTTAAATATGTTTTTTTAGAAATAATGTATATCGTATCGTTTTAAATTTTATATAAACAGAAAAAAACACATTCACACATTTTTTTTGTTCTGTCCGCGGCCTGGGAACCTCTATATTTAAGGTTGTTAATTATTTTTTTAACAAATAAAGCGACTTTTAATGATTTTAGGACAAATCTTGTCATAACGATAAGACCAAACGTTTCTGTGATTAACAATTAATCAAATTATAAAAAATACAATTATCGTAAAACATGTGATGTCCTTAAATAGTAAAATCGAGGAAACGTTCGTTGCAAAATTGACTAGCATAATTTACATTTCAACCAAAAAACAATAATGGCTGGAGTAGCAGATAAGGAAAAGAAAAGAAAAATAATATAAGAAATAAACAATGCAAACATACAAGAATAGCTCTTCGTTATAAAAAAGAAAAGTTCGTTGGGAACATGTCAAAACAAAGGAGGTGAAATTTCGGGAATATAACTACAATGTATTGTACTGACTTAATTTACCCTGGCCTGAAAGGAAAAAACAAGAAGTGAACACTAAACACAAACAAAATACCAGAATGGAGAAATCACTTTAGAATATTTTGTTTTATGTTAATATACCGTTGTTTTGTAATTTTTACATAGAAATATGTTGTTTTTTTCCTTAAGGTAAACTTGTTATGCTTTCGACTGCAAGAATACATTAATTGAGGATAACACAAAAGAATATTGAACTGTTTTAGTTTAATATCTTAAAGATATCTTGTTTCTTTTTTTAATATTTTTTTCTTTGCTAGATTCTTAAGGAAGCAAGAAATTTGGTTTTACTCTCCTTTTGTGGATTGTTTTATATATAACTTTATATTCCTCTTCTTTTGAGATTCTGAAACCGAACCTTGATAAATAATTAACTGATGTTTTTCCGCAATTGGAAGTTGACATCTGCTTTCAAGAAATACAACAAACACAAGTTAAAGCATACTTATTTTGTTGCATGTATGTATGTATGTATGTATATATACACGTGTGCTTTCGTGTATAAAAATTCTTTTTGTACCTATGGAATTACTTTTAATATTACCTCCCTTAAAAATGCAATTTAACTGTATTTAATGGTAAAATCTATAAGATGCAGTTTGTCAAAGAAATCTTATTTTGCTTTTGGCTATTAAGATATCATTTCTTTCTGTCAGTATACAAGTTAAAAATTATTTTTTCTTACAATTACTATCTTAATTTAAAAATGTATGTATATAGACTGCAAAGTTCCTTTATAAGTATTGTCGATAATATATCAAAAGTGTAAGAAATATAAAAGTTTCAATTTCTTAGTTGTAATAAAATGGTATTAGTTAAAAGAGGTTTATTATCAAACCTTAATGAAACATTAGTTTAAATATCTTTTGTTGTGTATTTTTGTATTGAATGTGAGACGCAGTCTGCCATAATGTTAATGATATTTTTTGGTTATATTTTAACTTATCTCTTTTTTTTTCTTTTTTCTTTTTAGTTCAATATGGTTGAAAGTAATATAAATGTCTCATATCTGAACTGTAGATGCCTGAATGGGTAAAAAAAAAGATTATCCGTTTTTCATTTTTTAAAACAAGAAGAGTGTAACATTTATTGTGTCCAAGACTTATTATTTACTTTATTTTATTTATAATTATTTACCAGGGCATTATTTAAAGATCAGGCGTAAGGGACAAAACACTAGCTTAACTGCGGAATTTTATAATTTTGCAAAGGGAGACAAATCCGCCGGTCTTGTCTGATACATTTCCAGGGAGATTTACTCTATTGGTTTTAAGTGATTTTATCTTATGTTTACATTGATTGGATTCTAAGTATTCAAATGATTGGTTCACGGATGGTTGATTTTAAGCTATTTTTATGTCATGTGATTTCTTGGTGGGAAAGATATTGTGTCTTTGTTGTTGTAAAGCAGAGAAGTTAGAAAATTAGTGTTTTGTGGTAAAGTTCTTTATTTCTTAAGTTGGTATGTATTTATCCTGACTGCTGCTAAATGCTTTATTGTAAATATGGAGAATTGAATAATTGTGATTATGTTCTATTTAAGTCCAGTCCATTGATTGTGAAATATGAAAATAAGTATGAGTTTCAGAATGACATGTATCTATCAAATCACCTTTAATTTTTTATTCACTATAAATGTTTAACCTTACAGTTAACAGTCACTGGTATGATAGAGAGAAGTTGTAAGTTGTTGTAAGTGGTAAGATTGTTGTACTACACTCATCCCTCAGATGGTAAGTTACTTGTGATGTATTGTGTAAAGTGTCTTTCCAAAAAAAGTGTAATATATGTTAAATGTGTGTATAATTACATTATCTAAGCATATGCTATTTAAGGACTGTTGCTCAGTTTAAAGGACTGATTGGCCACTAGACATGTAATTGATTATGTTCTAGATTAGAACATAAGATATGATATTAATTCATGTAATGCTTTGTTTCTACTTTATTTTACTTAATATTTACATATTGCTATATAATGTTTTCTGAATGTTGTTTTGTACCTAAAGAGTCTACTTGTTGTTTGTACAACCTTACAGTAATTGAAGATTGGATTGGTATATAAACATGATAAAACTTTAGAGCTTTTGTTGAAATGATTCAATAATCCCGAACTTTCTTGACTCCCAGGGGCTCGGATAGTTATATTTAAATTGCGCCGAACCACTCCTATTAAACGATTACAAAACCCATAACAAATTTATTGGACCCAATTGGAAATTTTGTAGTATTTGACTTAAATATTGAAGGGCTGAAGGGATTGAAAATACTCTGGTAAATTTATATGGCCCAAATTCTGGTAAACTCGAATTTTTTTATGAAACATTCAGTTTAATTGACAGAAGCTGGAGGCATGGTGCTTAATTGGAACTGCGAGGGAAATCTAAATCATATAGTAGTTATGTAACTAATTTATACAAAGAAAATACCAAGAAAGGAAGACATGATTTAGAAGCCGATTTAACTGAAGATAAAATGACGCACCTTTGGGACCATCAAACAGAGTTTCATAACGTAAATGATTGGCAATTGCAGGGCTATCTTATTCATTCTAGAGTTAAGTGAAAAACCGTCACAGTACTTTTGCAGCTTCGAGAAAAATAAACACTTCTAAAACTATTCATCAAATTCAAAAGAATGACGGAACAATTGTTAAAGAACAAACAACAATTCTCGAAGAATTAGAAAAAAAAATATTGAAACCTATTTATGGCGAAAATACACAATGAAAACGATGATTTTTGATGATTTTATTTCAAACATAAAGTCCAAAAGAATAAAATTCTTTAGAAGGTCAAATAAACTATCATGAAGCAACTTTAGTTTTACATAACATCAAAAAATATTAAGAGTCCAAGATTTTCAGGTTTCAGCGCAGATTTTTATTAAGTTCTTTGGGGGAAAAAAGACTTTTAATGGTAGAGCTATTAATAACGCATATAAAAAAAATCATGCAAACTTTCCATAACTCAAACACAGGGAATAATTACATGTATTCCTAAATACAATAAAACTAAAAGATTTTTTTTTAAAAAATTGGAGACCTATAACTTTTTTAAATACAGTTTATAAAATTACTTCTGGAGTTATTGCAATTTGTAACAATATGTAGAGGCTGCAGACAGAAAAACCCGCTTTCTTGTTATATCTTTATTTTATGTGCTGAAATTCTTTCTCTTAAGATAAGAAATTCTAACAAAATTAAAGATATAAATAAATAATCTAGAACATAAATTATCTCAATTTGCGGATGATACAACATTAATACTGGACTTGTCAAGCAATTCCTTAAATCAGGCACTCGATGTGTTTAATATCAATATTTGCTCATCTATCGGGACTAAATGTAAACTTTGATAAGACAAAAGTAATTTGGATAGGAATAAATAATTACTCATCACAGTGTTCACACTTCTATTTTTTCATAAGGGGTATTTTTACCCCTTACCTTTGAAACTGAAGGTGAAATAAAAATTCAGGGGTTACATAAATTTGTACAAAATTAATATGAAACTAAAGGATAATTCCAAATCCATACAAAATGTACATCAGACAATTATGCTGTTTTCTTCAAGATCTTAAAAATTCATACTTCATCCCCCCCTTCCCCACCCTTTAGGTAATATTCATTGTAACCAACAGTGAACACGTACTGGCATATATCTCCATCTTAATTAATGTAACCATTATTTAAGTTATTTTAATTCATAAACAGCATATAAATTGTTACTACACACTTTTGAACAAAACAAAGCTTCCTTTTTTGTGATGTTTTTTAATTAACAAAATCGGCATCGCGAAAATATGTGACAAATGAAAATTTGTCTTTTTACTGCAGAAACATTCACAATTCCAGTTGGTGCTGATTACAATTATATCAGAATTAATATTGTTTTAATATTTCAAGATTGTTTTTCATAAGCTTTTTTACAGGCATCGTAAAACAAAAATTTCAAATGTGTAATTTACGGCAATAATTCCCAGTGTGTGTGTGTGGGGGGGGGGTGGGTTGGGGAGGGGTCTGTAAACTTCATTGTGAATTTAGAGATTTTCTCGCATTTCATCAATTTAAATGCACTTTAAATGATTTTTTTTGTTGTTGAGAAATTGGTCAAATGAATAATTTTCTGAATTATACATGATTAGGTTTTCAACTTTCTGTGCGTAATTTTACCCTCTTGCCTAAATTTCTGTACGTGAATTTTGGCATTTATGCGTAAAATTCGCATATATGTGCGTAAATGGGAACACTGTCATCAAATGGTAAAAAAACGCGATGGAAATAATGATGAAACCAACATAATTGGTCACTGTTAAGGACTATTCAGAGGGAGGTTTAAAAATGTTAAATTTAAATGCTTTTATAATAGCATGAAAGATAAGCTGTTAGCGATGCCTATTGGAAAAACATTATTGTAAATGAATTTGATATGCAAAAACTATTTCACTTTGGAACAGAACAGAACAGAACACAAACCTTATTTTCAGAATTGTACAAAATACATAGTCTTACACAATACAAACAATTAAATATATTTAAGTATAAGTCACATTACATAATAATATCATTGTCAATTGTTAGCAAAGCATATGTTTTTATTGCTTAATTTATAACTCCATGAACACAAAACATATCAATATATTATCAAAGCAATAATGTTGGAAAACATTTCATAGATAAAGTTGCAAAAAGAACTCCAAACGTTTTTTGGAAAGACACTTCAATGCTTTATCTACATATATATAGATAAGTATCATATAAATAACAAATCCTTTGCAAATCTACATTTGTTTTATAACAATAAATTGCTAATTGGCAATAAAAATATATTTTAAAGCCGTTGTATATTATATCGGAGATATGTTCGATTCTCACGGTGCTTTTCTTTCATTAGAATATTTTAATAGCATATTCAGGCTTAATGCAAACATTTTAATCTTGCACGGAATTAAAAAATGAAAAAGAAAAAGAGAGACTACTCAGTATTTCATTGTTAATAAAAAATGTATGATTTTTTTGTCAGTTGATGATATGTATGATTAAAATCAAAAGACCAAATGTTCTTTAGGCAGATAATAAATGTTTACAAAAATTTATAAGTATAAAATATTTATCACATACCTGTAATCAAATGTCCTAACGAGACTCGTGTGGTATCTTCAGTCGCACAATAATCAAATGTACAACCGTCTAGGCTTTATATAACACATTGTAATATAATTTTCTACGAAAATACTATGATAAGATTTCTACTTGGAATAGCGTAGGGTATTTGTCCCTATATTTAGATCGACATTGGAATAAACATGATTACATAGCTGTTTTTATTTTGCGGTAGTCAAGTTTTCCTTATAAAGCTCAAGTCGCACAATGATCTTTTGTACAACCGCCTTGGGGTAAGTCTGCTTTATATTACAAATTGCAATATCATTTTCCATGAAAATACTATGACTTATATTGATTCTATAAGATTCCTTCTTGGAATAGCGTAGGGTATTTGTCCCTATACATGTATTAAGATTGACATTTGATGAAACATGATACATGCTCTTTACAAATCTGTGTTTTTACATCGAAGTTTTAATCTTTGTCGAGCTAATAAGTTCGTTTGAGTATATGTTAACAACAGTAACGAGAAGTTGGCACTGACATCGAAGATCGAAATTCAGTTTTTAGTGAACATCGAGCTAGCTTTGAACTTCGAGCTAGGTCGAAGATCGAAATTCAAAGAAAATAAAAGCTGAATATCGAGCTTGAGCTTAATTTTGAGTTAACTCGAAAAACGAAATTCAACTTTGTAAAGGCCGAATTTCGAGCTGGAGTAGAATTTCGAGTCACCTCGAATATCGAAATTCAAATTTTTTGACACCCGAATTTCGAGCTGGAACTGTATTTCGAGCCAGCTCGAATATCGAAATTCAAAAATTTCAACATCAAAATTTCGACATAGAGTTGATTTTGGAGCCAGCTCGAAGATCGAAATTCAAAATTTTCAAAAGCCAAAATTCGAGCTGGAGTTGAATTTCGAGCCAATCAAAAATTTCAAATGTTGAACTTCGAGCTAATTTTGAATATTGAATCAAGATCTTTGAGCTGGCTCAAAATTCAACTCCAGCTTGAAATCCAGCTTTTTCAAATTCTAAAGTTCGATCTTTGGGCTGCTTCGAAAATCAACTCCAGCTCAAAATTCGGATTTTAATTTTAATTTCGATCTTCGATCTGGATTGAAATTCAACTGCAGCTCGAAATATGTTTTTTCAAATTTTAAATTTCGATCTTCGAGCTGGCTCGAAATTAAACTCCAGCTCAAAACTCGGCATTTTCAAATTTTGAATTTCGATCTTCGGGCTGGCTCGAAATACAACTCCAGTTAAAAATTCGCGATTTGAAAATTTTGAATTTCAATCTTCAGGCTGGTTCAAAATTCAACTCTAGCTTGAATTTCGGCTTTTGAAAATTTTGAATTACGATCTTCGAGCTGGCACGAAATTCTGTCCCAGCTCGAAATTAGGGATTTGAAAATAACGAAATTCGATTTTCGTGTTGCTCCAGATCGAAGTTCGCGTTTTGTAAAATTTTAATTTAAATTTTCGAGCTGGCTCGAAATTAAGTTACAGCTCGAAATTTGGGTTTTGAAAATTTTGACATTCGATCTTCGAGCTGGCTCAGCATTCAACTCAAGCTCGAAATTCGGGTTTTTCAAATTTTGAATTTTGAACAACGGGTTGGATTAAAGTTCAACTCAAGCTCGAAAATTCTCATTTTGAAATGATTGAATTTCGATCTTCGAGCTGGCTTGAAATTCAGTTGCTGTTCGCATTTTTTGGTTTTGAAACTTTTAAATTTCGATCTTCAAGCTGGCTCAAAATGCAACTCAAGCTCGAAATTCGGGTTTTTCAACTGTTGAATTTCGATTTTTAAGTTAACTCGAAATTCATCTCTAGCTGGAAATTCAGCTTTGATTTACTTTGAATTTCTATCTTAGCTCGAAGTTCAAAGCTAGCTCGATATTCAATATAAACTGAATTTCGAACTTCGATGTCAGTACGAACTTTTCGTTACTGTTTGCCAAACAAATTTTGAAATATGATATCCTTGTTTACAGTAGGATAAAATCTCTTTGTTCCCCGCTGAATGATTTTAAGCACGTCATACATGCAATATTTAACCATATCACTATATATGGCGGTAATTGCACAATAACATACGGTCGTTTTGGAATTCGAAGATTTCATAGAAAACCTAATGTTTGAATTATATCGATACAAGGAAATTGCACTTAAATAAGAACTGTAAGAAAGCTGTCTTATCCTAGTTTGAAATATGCATACCTCCAGATAAATCTTTAAAAACAATCAAACTTGACAAAAATGTATTGAGAATTCAAGTAAGGTATACAGATTTCAGATTCAAGTAATAATTTGAATAATGAGTTTTCAGTATAATATAACCATATTTTTACTGCGTGACTAGCGTAGTTATTTTTTTTTTGCATACATTACCGTATTTTGACCTCTTTGTGATGTAAATGACGTTTGCAATATATAAATTACTCTCCTTGTTCGGAGCGGTCAACTTGTGACGATATGGTTAATAAACTCAAGTGCGATCCTTTGAAAAACAACCTTTTGTTCTTTAAGGTTCCCGATTCTGAGGAGGAGACCCCAAATGACTGCAAATCGTCTATCTTTCATATTCTACAAGATAAAATGAAAATCGACAATGCTAGAGAAAACATTGCGTTAGCCAGCGTTGAGCGAATGGGGCGTTTCAAGTCAGAAAATACAAGGCCCGTCGTAGTGAAATTTGAAAAGTTTGATGACCGTGAAAAAGTGCGTAAGTCATGTTCAAATCTAAAAAACACGGCAATTGGTGTTGCACCACATTTCCCGAAAGACATTGCGGACAAACGTAAGGCCTTACGCGGGGCTTTTAAAAAGGCCAAGGATGAAAAGAAGAAGGCATATTTTAGGTACGATAAGCTGTTTATTAACGATGTAGAGTTTGTACCAGGGCCTCAAGCCTAGGGTTTAACCGAAAATGGTATTAAATTTATATCCTGGAATGTGGAAGGATTAACGAAAGCGAAACGGTCTTGCGAGGATTTCACAAATTTTATCTCGGAATACGATGTCATATGTTTGTATGAAACTTTCACCAGTAGAAACACGAACATTTCGTTAAGTGGATATAGCAACCCTATTCACTCATTTAGAAGCTTTCAACATAGGCGGGCGAAACGAGCAAGTGGTGGTGTTATTATTTATATAAAGGACAGTATTAGAAAGGGTGTTAAGCTGATACGAAATGATATTGATTGCATTGTTTGGATTAAACTCGATAAATACTTTTTTCAAACTGACAATGATTGTGTGTGTGTATTTGCGTTTATTTATACTCGCCACCGGTTGCCCATATGGGCGAGTCCTCCAGAAGAGTATTAGTCATTTTAGATTTTTGGAGGATAGTGCAATTACAGATACAGAAAGATGCCCCAATTCCAGAAGCTTCTCCTGGTTCTTTAGCGTGCCAAGTGTTTAAGCACCCATACACGGGACCTCGATTTAAAGTCTCATCCGAAAGACTGATTAGTAATTTTAGTTGGCCAGCCCGGGAATCGAACCCACAATGTCGAGATTACAAGTCTCGCGCTCTAACCGATTGAGCTATGCGGGCTGGCTGACAATGATTGGTATATAGCGGCGACTTATATACCGCCTGAAGGCTCGCCGGCATATAACGTATATAATATTGACCTGTTTAAGAAACTCGAGGACGAAATAGGTCACTTCTCACAATTAGGTCGGACTTAATGGATAGGTGACCTTAACTGTCGGGTAGGTCAAAAACTTGATTTTATTGAACACGAGCGTATTACAGGCATTGAACTTACCGACATTTTAAATAGTACCCCAAATCGTCGAATTTCAATGGATAACCATAGTAATATATACGGTGATTATTTAATAGACATTTGTAAGTCATTAAATATTTGTATTATGAATGGAAGAGCGGCGAATGACAGTGATTTGGGTAATTTTACTTGCTATACGCATAACGGCGAAAGTGTTATAGACTACGTGGTAACGGCTTAGAGCAATTTTCAGTCCATTTAAGATTTTAAAGTGCATAAATATAATGAATATTCTAATCATTCACCAATAACGTTCAAAATAGACGTTTGTACGCATTGTAGTATAAGTCAAAATCAGACAAGGTCTTTTTATAAATGGAATGATAATGAGAAACATCTTTTCAAAGAGGAACTGGCAAGTGGAATGAACAATTTAATAGACTCTTTAAAAAATAGTGATGCACAAGGGATAGAAGCACTTGGTAGGACTGTTACAATGTTCACAGACTACATTGATTCAAAGGCAAAACCATTGTTTAAGAAATCTATAAAGGTGTAACGTGCACGGGCTAGCTGTTATATATTCTACATGATTATTATCTGTCTGCTTAACTTCAGGTTCTGTCTCTGTACATTTGACCATCGTCTTAGATTCAGAAGATTTATTGCCTTGATCAGACGGATCAATGCCAAAACACCCTATTTTACCGGTACAATATAAATTAACAATATGACCTTTCAATTTCATTGTATTTCTAATAACATCAATACAAACACCATACTGTTGCATAAAATCAAGACCTAAAACAACATCATTTCCGATTTCAGCCACTACAACCTTTGTCTTATAAAGGTGTCTTTTAAACCTCAGGTCTATCTCTGTTTGTCCCTTGATTTTTAATAGATCACCACTTGTTGATGATACAGAAAGTTCAAAAGGTGTAATTTTGTTATTGCTCTTAAGTTTAAGCCAAAGCTTTTCTGAGATAACAGTAACGGTAGCTCCAGTATCTACTAAGCAATTGACTGACACATTACCAACCTTTCCATAAGCATATAAACCAGCCATTAAATGTCCTGACGAATTGATATTTTGTTTGTCATTTACGCTCCTTGTTGTTTTGTCAGTTGCGTGAGAACTTCTGTTTTGTAGATTTTGTCCATGTACTTCATTACAATTTCGCCCTGTACGATTTCTTCTTGTATAACCACTATCAGATCGCTTATAAACTGAGGTATTAATGTAAGGTTTTCTTTGTCTATTTTCATTGTAATAACGATGTTGAAAATTCTTTTGTGGAAAATGTTGTACACGCCTTTGATCATAACTATTCGGTGTCTTAACATATTTGTTATCTTGCCGTTCATATCTTCCTTGACGCTGCATCCTATCAACACTTTCTTTTAAAGAAGATACAACAGTTTTAAGTTCTTCAAACTCTTTATACAAGTTATCTGTCTGTATACTTCTGATCATTCCTTGCTGCTCATTTTCAGCCCTGTAGAAAGCTTCCAGTTCTACAGCATGCCTTACTGCATCATTCAAATCAATGGGCCTAGCTTGTTTTATCTTGAGACGCATGTCTGAATTTACAAGTGCGTCTATAAATTGTTCTTTAGCCAAAGTGTCACGAACATCTATAGGAGCATGAGGGTACGCCAAGTTTACAAGACGCCGAACATCTTGTCCAAGTTCAGCCATTGATTCAGTAGCTTTTTGATGTCTATCTCTCAACTGAACTCTGTATAACTCAGTCTGATTTCTTGGTGAAAATCTATCTTCAAGTGCTCTCACAAGTTCCTCATAATTGTGTGTCTTTGTTGTCAAATTTCCGAACACTCCTTGAGCTTGGCCTCGTAAAGATACAGATAAGTATAAACCTTTCTCATTTTCATTCCAACCATTCAAAGTTGCACAAGCGTCAAAGTGTGCTTTATAGTTTGTCCATTCACAAGTTCCGTCATAAGTTGCAGGTTTCATGAAAGTAGACCTCGAATCTTTAACTTTGAAATCAAAACTTTTGTCTGAAGTTTGATTGGTATCCAATTTTTGTTGTTCTTTTGGAGTTTCAGGGGGTAGCAAGTCAACAATCCTCCGTCTTTGGGTGATCATTCTGTCTTTCACATCCCTCTCATAATTTTCACTTTGAACAGGCAATGAAGGCAAAAGACGTCTAGGCTTTGAGGTAGTCTTTCTACTTGGTGTAAAACCTTCATAAGTATTCTCTGTTTTTACCATAGCAGGTGTTGATGTAATCAGCTCACTACTTGTCTGGTCAATTTGTCTTTGAAGACTATCAATCTCTCTCTGGAGTTTCAGCCTACGATTCTCATTCCTAAGATTTTCCATTTCATCGTACATATAACAAAAGTCTTCATCGGACCATTTACTTCTATACTCAGCCATGTTCTTAAAAGTCTAGGGTAAGTAAGCCTATCTTAAGCTAGAAGTGTCCCCCGTTGGGCGCCAATTTTGTAACGTGCACGGGCTAGCTGTTATATATATAATTTTTCTTATGGCTACTTTGCCAGTTGATTGGTTACAAATGATTATAAAATGATTTATTCAAACTTTGGAATCAAGTTTAATTAACCAATGCTATAACAGTAACGTGCTTGAAAGGTAATAAGTGGTCCTTGAACTTGATATAAAATTGGGGTGACACTTTTTTTAGGCTACTTAATATGTATAGAAAAACCACTTGGATATCGAGTTTTCAATACTTTAGTAATAACAATTACACCTAACGCAATGTTAAATTGATGCAATTGAAATACTTCGTAAATAGTGCAAGAACCCAATAGATTAGACTAAAATATTAATTAATTATTTCTGCGGTGTTGACACTTCGGCAGCTGGACAGAGACTGATCGTCCACAGCTTTGAGCTCTATTTATACCCAATAACGTAGTTGTATTTAATAATCGTTTGGTGAAGTTGAGGATCTCAAGCATCCAAAAGATATTGATAATGGGTCGAATATTGGTACGAATGACATTGAGTTCGAATGATTTTAAGGAAGAATTGTTCTGACATTTTAGAAATAATAAAAATATGCCCCATTATATCAAATTATTGCTACAAATAAGTTGTTAAATCTATTCATTTAGTTTTTATGTATTTTTTACTTATTTATAAAAGATCAAACTCTACTTTTAAACACAAGATAGCATATTTGTTTACAATTTAATTTACCGACAATTTAGGTACAAAACCACTAAATATCATTATAGAATCTAGGCAGAAGAGAACAATCGTCACAAAGGTAAAAACCTCAACATTTCTCGACAGTGAATTGACCGAGCGAAAAAAGTGGTTTAATATTGAATGTGAAAATAAACGGAAGCGATATAGAGAGGCCCTTGAAAGGTACAATTGTGACGGAAATACAGATAATTTCGAAAATTTTCAACGCCTTAAAAAAGACTACAAATATTTCGTACGAAAAACAAAAGCGTTATATAATATAGACAAAGGGAGACAAATGAATGAAATGCGGCGTAAAAAGCCAAGACAATTTTGGAAAATGTTTAAGCAGGGTAATAACCCAGTCGATAAGAGTGTTACTTTAGATGATTTTTACAATCATTTTAAATCTCTGGACGCAAAAGTGGATGATAACGACGATGTACAAGAGTTTCTACGCGAATTTGACAATAATTGTGATAACACGGAAGAAGTTACATTCGAGGAATTAGACATGCCAATTACGGAGAATGAATTACGTAAAGTTGTTAACTCTTTAAACAGAAACAAAGGCCGTTGGATTAGACAATATATGATAAAATGAATATTTTAAAAGAGTGTAATCGACATCCTTTCCGAACCGTTGTTACTTATATTCAACAAAATTCTCGACGCAGGTGAATTCCCGAGTCAATGGTCAGAGGGATTGATAATACCTATTTTGAAAAAACAACCATCATCTAACATTGCAAACAATTATAGGGGAATCACGCTACTAAGTTGCCTGGGTAAAATATTTACAGGAATAATAAATGAGAGAATGAAAGTCTGGACCAAAAATCATGACAAGCTCTCCTGATGCACAGTTTGGGTTCAAGTCGGGTCACAGTACTACTGACGCTGTTTTCGTTTTATCTTACTATCATACAGAAGTATACTTCACAAAATAAAAAGGTGGTATGCTGCTTTTGTTGACTATCAGAAGT